CAAGATGTTGAGAGACAAATGAGAGCGACCCGAGGGGTCCTAAGCCACTGGCTCCCAATCTTTCGTCTTTCATTTCTCCTCTTTCACTCCCAGTCAACAAGACCTGACATCTGTTCAGCTTACTGTGCATAAATTAAATTATCAATTTATCCTGATTAATTTCCGAATGTTGGTTACAACCGAGAGATAAATGGACGAAAAACAAAAACTGACTTTAAAATTAAGCAACTGGAATTCGTTGGAAGGTAAATCAACCTTGGGCGGATTACAAAAACCCTTTCTTTATTCTTCTGACTTTTCGTTAGAAGAATCGACTCGCAACTCTTTTAAGATTCAGGTTCTTAATATCATTACAATTTTTAAATTGCTTCACACTGCACCAACTTGGAAGTATCCATCTATAAATGTTGAAAGTTTTTAGTTCAACATTTTTAAGTCTTCAATTTATAACTCTTCAAGTTTTAATGAACTCGAGATGACTAGATTATATGAATACTGAATATTCCAGACTGAATTCTGAACCCAAATCCTCTGAGAGCTTAAATTTTTTACCAACTATAGAGCTTGACAGTTTCACAACTTACTTTCTTTTTTTCTTTAGTTTTTCATGCCTTTGAAACGTTAATGACTACAAAAAGAATAAGTCACAATTTCATGTAGAACTACTTTTAATCCTCGGAACACACGCCTATTTTTTTTTTTTTTTGAAAAATTACACTCCCTTTTCTTTGAAATACTGTGTAATATTTAAAGTTCTGCTATTTTTAAATTTTTCATTCTCATTAAGCATAAAACAGAATTGGAATTTAACAGAATAGTCACGTCACTTGATACTCAGCAGAATTATAATTTTTATGACCTAATAAAAATTGTAGAAAAAATCTAAAACTTATGCAGGTATCATTTTGTTAGCTTGAGAAAAGAAGCTCGTCTACTATGCCTTAAATAATTGAAAATTATTTTTTTTACTGAAATGAATCTCAACTTACGAAATTTTTCGCAAAATGAATTATAAATTATAAATTATAATTAATAATAAAATAAGAAATTAGTAACTAATAGAGAATAGCAAAATCTTTTTATTGCTCTAAATTGCAATGCGATTGAATATCAACGTTTTCAAATTTCAAACATCAAGAGTTCATATTACGATGTTGAATCGCTCGTTCCGAAAATTGAAGTACTTTCATAATTTAATGCAAATATGGTTTCACGTTATACGAATGACAAATATTATTCGAAATCCAAGAAATCGAGAAGCTTGGCAAAAATAAGAGATCCGAAAAACCCTCTTTGATTATAAAGTTGAAAAAAGAAAACAAAAAGTCAGAAAGGCGCTTTATGTGAGAAAGAGGATAAAAGCTCGAGATTGCTTTTTCCGTAATCCATCAGAGAAAATCGTATTGTCGGTAGTATCGCAGTAATCCTGTTATCAGCTCTTTCTTCCAGTTTCAAATACCCATTTATAGAATAGCCGTCACTGTCTACATTTTACTCGTCGATTGTGCGTAATCTAATTTTCTCTATTCCTGTTATCACGAAATGTCAAAGGATAAAGACCATCGAATTGACAAAACGTATTGTCCTATACCAGTCAATACGAGTGTAAAACAATCAAATGAAAATTAAACTTGTAATTACGTACTTTTGTTTTTGCCATATTAGATTAATAAATAACAATGACTTTTTCCTTCAATAGATAGATTCAAATTTAAGTGGTGTGACTACATTACTTTATTCATCTAAAAATTATTAGATACTCAAAAAAATGTTTTATTAAATTTATTTACAAATTTCTTCAAAAGTTAAATTATTCGAAAACATTCTTTAGTTTTATTTAAAATGAATATTTAATCATTTTTTTCATTGGAATAAAGATGTTCAAAAATTTCAAATTCAAACCTTTTCAAATTGAACACTCATAAGAATATTATTATAAAACATAAAGAAATGAATAACTCCGAGTCTTCGACTCGGAGTGATCCATTTCTTTATGTTTTATAATAATTAAAAATGACCGTCTGACAAAATCATTATTTTATTATTTTAAGAATAGATATTGTTACTGTAATTTCTTCAAAATTATTTTCATCATTTCAATTCAATTAACATTTTCTAGAATTTTTTAACTAAAATTCTACTTTAAATCAATAACATCAATTATTATTCAATTCAACTTTTTCAAAAAAATTAAATGTTTCTTAAAATTTAATTTTTACGAAGAATTTTATAACAATTTTTGACAATAATTGAAAAATTTTTAAAGAATTTTTAAAAATTTTTTAAAAATAATTGAATTCCTGAGAAGAATTTAAATAATAATTTTTGAAAACAATTGAAATCATGAGAAGAATTTTATTAAAATTTTTGAAAATAATTGACTTCTTGAGAAGAATTTTAAACAAATTTTTGACAGTTAATTTAATTCTTGAGAAGAATTTCCCTATCTATTTTATTTATAAAGATAATTTAAATCTTGAAGAGAATTTTTAAAAAATTTTGAAAATAGTTGAATTTTAGAGAAGAATGTTACTATTTATAAAAATAATTGAAATTTTATTAAAATTTTAGAAAATGATTGAATTTCTAAAAAGAATTTTATTATTTACGAAAATAATTGAATTCGTGTAAAAATTTTATTATTTATAAAAATAATTGAATGATTGCGAAGAAATTTATAAAAAATTTGTAAACAATTGAATTTTTGTGAAATTTTTATGATTTTATGAAAATAATTAAAGGTTTGGGGAGAATTTTATTAAAATTTTTTTTAATAATAATTGAATTGTTTTGTAAAACTTTATTAAACTAGTAGATATTGAAAATCATTGAATTGAGGAAAATTTTTGAAAATAATTGAAATTTTGACAAGAATTTTATTACAATTTTTGAAAATAATTGAATTTTGGAGAAGAATTTTATTATTTTTAAAAATAATTGAAATATTTGAATTATTGCAACGAATTTTATTGTTTTATTGAATAATTGAATGTTTCCTAAAATCGAATTCTTTCCTCAAGTTTTAATAAAATTTTTAATAATAATTGCAATTTTCAATGAATTTATTTAAAATTGTATTAAAAATATTTGAAATTCTGCGATGAAAATAATTGAATTCGTAAATGAAATTTTATTATTTTATGAAAATAATTGAATTTGTGCAAAGTATTTTATTAAATTTTGTTTAAATAATTGAAAATTTGCCAAGAATTTAATTAAAATTTTTGACAATAATTGAATTCTTGAGAAGAATTTTGATATTTATCAAAATAATTGAATTTTGGAAAAGAATTTCATTAAAAATCCTTAAAATAATTGATCTTATGGGGAGAATTTCTGTAGAAAGTAATTGAATTCTTGAGACGAATTTTATTATAATTCCTTTTTCAAGAATTGAATTTTTTTGTGAAATTTTATTGAAATAGTAGAAATTGCAAATAATTGAATTTCGATAAATTATTATTGAAATTAATTAAATTTCTACGTAAAATTTTATTAAAATTATTCAGAAAAAAGATTGAATTGTTAAAAAGAATGTTATTAAAATTTTTGAAAAAAATTTAATTCTTTCAAGAAATTTAATTAAAAATGTATTGACAATATTACTTAAATTCTACTAAATAAATTATAGCAAGGCTTTTTAAAATAATTGAATTTCTTTGATGAATTTTAATAAAATTTTTAAGAATAATTACATTTCTCGAGAAATTCCATTAAAATTATATCGAAAATAATTGAATCTCTATAAAAAAAATTTGATTGAATTGAGAAAAGTTTTTGAAAATAATTGAAATTTTGCCAAGAATTTTATTAAAATTAAAATTTATTTTTGAAAATAATTGTATTTTGGAGAAAAATTTTATTGAAATTTATAAAGATAATTGAAATTTTGAAGAGAATTTTTTTAAACTTTTGACCATAATTGAATTTTTACGAAGAATTTTATTACTTTAGAAAGTAATTGAATTCTTGAGACGAATTTCATTAAAATTTCTCTTTAAACAATTGTATTCTTTTGTGAAGTTTTTTTGAAATAGTAGATATTGGAAATAATTGAATTTTGATAAATTTTTATTAAAACTAATTAAATTTCTACGTAGAATTTTATTAAAATTATTTGTAAAAATGATTGAATTGTTAAAAAAAGAATTTCATTAAAATTTTTGAAAATAATTAAATTTTTTCAAGAAATTGAATTTTTTTGATGAATTTTAATAAAATTTTTAAGAATAATTACATTTTTCGAGAAATTTCTTTAAAATTTGATTTTATTTATTTTTATTTTGAAAAAAAATTGAATTGCGAATTTCATTAAAGTTTTTGAAAATAATTTAATTCTTTTAAGAAATTTAATTAAAAACTTGTTGACAATAATACTTACATTCTAGTAAATAAATTAGAGGAAGGCTTTTTAAAATAATTTAATTTCTTTGATTAATTTTAATAAAATTTTTCGAGAAATTCCATTAAAATTGTATTAAAAATAATTGAATCTCAGTAAAAAATTTGATTGAATTGAGAAAAATTTTTGAAAATAATTGAAATTTTGCCAAGAATTTTGTTAAAATTAAAATTTATTTAATTTTCTTCCTAGCTCTATTACTACTATTGAAAGTCTAAAAACTTTTATCCTTAGATTGCATAAATATCTATTTTTTATTAGATGAGCAAAATCTCGTTATTAAGAGTCTTGTCATTGATAAATTTTTTATGATATTGTAATATTGCGGATTATCATTGTTGAAAATAGTACAGCTTTTGCTTTAAAATTTAGAATCTAGTTTTACAACAGAGAAAAAAACATCCATTGTCGAAAAGCTTGAAATTGTCAAGCAAAAGTTTGACAATGGTTCTTTCTCGCAGAACACAATGTTTCTCCCGTAGAGTGGGAAAAAGAGAAATAAAAACCTCATGCATTATTTAAAACTGTGCTTATCTTAGGTGTTTTTCAGTGGGCAAATAAAGAAAAAGAAAAGAAAAGGAAAGAAATCAATACTCACCGGCATCTTCAGCGGCAACGGAGGTTTGTTGAGCGATTTGAACGCTGGTCTGCGCGGGCGGTGGTTTCCTGGACGGCGATGTTTTACAAGACGCTGTGGGCGGTTGTTTAAGGGCGCTGGTTGGCACGAGACCTTCAGCTGGAGGTTCAACTTGACCCGGTGTCGAAGCCAATCTCACGAGGGTCCATTCCGCTCCTATGCTGCCGGTGCTTCCGTTTCCGTTTTCGAGGACCTCGACTTGTTGACCTTTTGTGACAGACAGCTCCCGGGTACCAGGTGTCGCCGAATGATCTGCGACAACCCATGTCATTTCGGCCACTCCGGTCTGAAACAATTTATTTTCCTTAATTATTACAGCTGTAAACAAATCTGAGAAATTTCATAACAAAATTCTTGTTCAAAGTTAAATTATTTTCATAAATGTCGAAAAAAAAATTCTTGTCCTAATTTCAATTATTTTCAAAAAGTAGAATGCATTTTTCTAATTTCAATGATTTTCAATATCTACTATTTTCATAAAATTTTCCAAAAGAATTCAATTATTTAAAAAAAAAAATTAATAAAATTCTACACAAACTTTCAATTATTTTCATAAATAATAAAATTTTTACGGAAATTCGATTCTTTTCGTAAATAATAAAATTCTTTTTAGGAATTCAATTATTTTCTAAAATTTTAATAAAATTCTCGTCAAAATTTCAATTATCTTTAAAATAATAAAATAAAATTCTTCTCCAAAATTCAAGTATGTAATTTCAAAAATTTTAATAAAATCCTTGTCAAAATTTCAATTATTTTTAAAAACTTTCCACAATTCAATGATTTTCAAAATCTACTGTTTTAATAAATTTTTCCAAAAGAATTCAATTATTTTAAAAAATTTCCGTTAAAATTTTACGAGAACATTTTATTATTTTCTTAAATAATAAAAATTTCACAACAATTCAATTATTTACAAATTTTTTAAATTTCTTTGCAATAATTTCATTAATTTTTATAAATACATTCAATTTTGCAATAAATTATTTGTTTTTGTGTTTAAAAAATTGAATTCTCGTAAAATTTACTATTAAAGATTGATGTAAAAATGAATTTTAGTTGAAATCACTGAAAAAAAAAATTTAATTTTAGAAACAAATTACAAATGATTGCGGAATTTCAATTATTTTCAAAAAGTAATAAAATTCTTTGCAGAAATTTAATTATTTTATAAAATTTTAATAAAATTCTTAGCAAAATTTCCATTATTTTCAAAAATACTAATAAAATTCTATGCAAGCATTTAATTATTATTATAAATCTTAAAATTCTTTTTGGAAATTCAATTACTTTCTAAAATTTTAATAAAATTCTCGTCAAAATTTCAATTATTTTTTTACAAGCAATAAAATTCTTTCCCGAAATTCAATTATTTTCTAAAATTTTAATAAAATTCTTAGCAAAATTTCAGTTATTTTTATAAACAAAATTCTTCTCCGAAATTCAATTTATTTTTTAAATTTTAATAAAATTCGTCGCAAAATTTCAACTATTTTTACAACCAAAAAAATTCTTCTCCAAAATTCAATTATTTTCTAAAATTTTAAAATCCTTGGCAAAATTTCAATTATTTGTACAAGGAAATAAAATTCTTCTCCGAAATTTAAACATTTTCTAAAATTTTAATAAAATTCTTAACAAAATTTTAATTATGTATTTTCAAAAATATTGATAAAATCCTATATGCAAACATTTAATTATTTTTATAAATCATAAAATTATTTTTCGAAATTCAATTATTTTCTAAAATTTTAATAAAATTCTCGTCAAAATTTCAATTATTTTAATAAATAAAAAAATTTTTCTCCAAAATTCAACTATTTTCAAAAATTTTAATAAAATTCTTGTCAAAATTTCAATTATTTTTACAAGCAATAAAATTCTTCTCAAAAATTCAATTATTTTCAAAAATTTTAATAAAATTCTTGTCAAAATTTCAATTATTTTCAAAAATTTTCCACAATTCAATGATTTTTAAAATCCACTGTCTTAATAAATGTTTCCAAAAGAATTTAATTATTTAAAAAAATTTCCGATAAAATTCTATGCAAATTGCAAACATTTAATTATTTTTATAAATCATAAAATTTTTTTTTTTTTGGAAATTCAATTATTTTCGTAAATAATAAAATTTTTTTTATTAATTCATTTATTTTCATAAATACATTCAATTTTTCAATAAAATATTTATTTTTGTGTTTAAATAATTGAATTCTCGTAAAATTTACAACTAAAAATTTATTTAAAAATGAATTTTAATTGAAATCACTAAAAAAATTTAATTTTAGAAATAAATTACAAATGATTGCGGAATTTCAATTATTTTCAAAAATATTGATAAAATTCTATGCAAATTGCAAAGTGCAAACATTTAATTATTTTTATAGATTATAAAATTTTTTTGGAAATTCAATTATTTTCGTAAATAATAATATTTTTTTTAGGAATTCAATTATTTTCATAAATAATAAAACTCATTGCAAAATTTTATTTATTTTTAATACAATTATGAAAAATTTAATTTATAGTTTTAAGTAAAATTAAATCATTACATCATTAATGAAGTAAAATTTTTTTAAATTAATTAGGTGAAGTAAACGATTCCACTCATTTCAAAACACGAATTCATAGAAGAAATAAAAAAAAGTATATAAAATTTCACGTCATAAAAGTACTCTCAATTTGTACAACTTTTAGTGGTAGTTTCGTCAAATATCAAAGAGATACTTTCAGTGGGAGAATAAAAGTTCGATACTAAACTAAAATAAAACCCACGCAAGGGAAATGTTTCTAAAAGTGCAACTGAAATATTTTCTTTTTCCTTTTTTGAAAATTGAAACAACGTGACCAATGGTAGAGAAATAAAAATTTTACTCTATGATTAATAATTAATAATAAATTTTTGAAAATTGTTCTTCGATTGAGTGAAAATTCTGACACTTTTAAAAAAATAAATTAAAAATTAAAAAAAAAAAATTGAAATTCTCCCTTTTATTATAATAGAAATATTTTTACTTTACAAGTGAGATAAATTTCTATTTTAAATAAATCTCAATTTTTGTTGTACACTCCGAATTTTTAAACTGTGCTCTTTGTCCAATGAATAATGCAGAGATGTGTCACCTGAACATGAAAATAGAATACTTTTTTTCACTTGAATGCCCGTCGTTTTCTTTTGTATCAGTTAATCTCTCATCTGAATGTTGTGTTCCGTTTTCTTTTCAATTTCAAACATTTATGAAGGTGAAAAGGTGATCTAATTTTAAAATATCATCGCTGAAAAAAGTGTATAAGGAAATTTCTATGATTTTCCGTACGAGTATTTTTAAAACATCAATGTAAAAAGCTCTTCTTTCTCTCTGTCTCTCTGTGCCTCTCTTTTTCTCTGTACAAGTTGTTCGAATTATTATTATCATTATCGAAATATTTGAAAATTCTCCAATAAAAAAAAAAAAAAATGGAGAAATAAAAAAAATAAAAAAAAATAAAAACCAGATTCAATGTTCAATTTCACACCCGGAGCACAGGAGAAAAATTGAGCACACTTGACAAAATTTAAGTATTACGCGTTAAGGGGTTAATAGACTGGAAGTACTAAATATTGATTAAATTTTGATACAGCGAGGCTGGTTGAAATAACTTTTTGCTGAGTTGGTATTTCAAGACGAGCCTTTTTAATTCTCTGGGGAATATTACTTACACGTCACGTAATAAAGTAGAAATAATTCTTGCATACTGCTTTCTATTAATTACCTTTTTCCCCGCGGTTGAAAAAAGGGATCAAAAGATGATAATAGAGAATAAAAGGTTAATAACGAAAATGGCACGTAATCTTTCAAATTCAATTTTTTTTTACAATTAACAAAGTAAACATATTTTTTTCAATCATTTTTTTTTTATTTATTTTTAATTTTTCACTATCGGAAATATTATTAAAAAATTTTTTTTCTCGTTTCGATTTTCATTGATGCTACAACTATTTTTATAATTTTTCTTTCACCTGAACGTTATTTACCGTGAAAATTGAACGCAAAAAATCTAATTAACGGAATTTGCACTTGTTAAAGTAATTGGAATTTTTAATTATATATTTTACATTTTTATCTAATTATTTTAATGAAACTTGATAATTTAAAAAATATTCGAGTTATCACTTGACGCAATTTTTATATTAACTTAATTATGGTTTAACTTAATTGGAAATGAATACTAATGAAAAATAAATAACGTCATGCAATAATAAATTGGATAAAGTAAAATTTCACAAGAACAGTTAACAATGAAAAATTTTTTATTTCATATTTAAATTACTTATTTAAATTGCTACTTGTTTTTCACAGTACCAACGAATTGACACTTTTGCAAAAAATCATTTTTACGAATTGTCATTTTTACGAATCGTTATTTTTTCGAAATGTCATTTTTTCAAATTTTCATTCTTACAAAATGTCACTTTTCTGAATGGCTATTTTTACGAATTGTCACTTTTGCGAAAAGTTATTTTTACGAAATATCATTTTAACGAATTGTCATTTATGCGAACTGACATTTTTTCGAATTGTCACTTTTCTGAATCGCTATTTTTACAAATTGTCACTTTTGCGAAAAGACATTTTTTCGAATTGTCATTTTTTCGTATTGTTATCTTTACGAAATGTCACTGTTGCCAATTGCCATTTCGTAAAAATTACAATTCGAAAAAATGTCACTTTGCATAAATGACAATTCGTAAAAATGACAAACTTTTTGCAAAAGTGACAATTCATTAAAATGGCGATTCGAAAAAATGCCATTTTGGAACAATAAAACTATTAGTAAAAATGACAATTCGTTAAAATGATATTTCGCATAAGTGCCAATTCGTAAAAATGGCAATTCGAAAAAATGACATTTTGGAACAATGAAACTATTAGTAAAAATGACAATTCGTTAAAATGATATTTTGTAAAAATGTCGATTAGCAAAAATGACAATTCGAAAAAATTCGTAAAAAATTATTTTTCGCAAAAGTGTCAATTTGTAAAAATGTCGATTCGCAAAGATGACATTTCGTAAAAATGTCGATTCGCAAAAATAACATTTCGTAAAATTGACAACTCGCAAAAATGAAATTTTGGAACAATAACTATTAGTAAAAATGACAATTCGTTAAAATGATATTTTGTAAAATTGACAATTCATTTTTGTGAAATATCATTTTAACGAATTGTCATTTATGCGAACTGACATTTTTTTTAATTGTCATTTATGCGAACTGTCATTTTTTCGAATTGTCATCTTTACGAA